AACAAGTTTCGCTCCAACAAATAGGAATAATAGCAAAGCATCAGTCCAGAAAAATAGCTCTAAACCACTGGCTCAAACTCCGAGCTTCTATTGTTTACTGGGTCCTGTTTGTGTTCTAGCAGTAGCACATAAGGAGGCGAGAGACCCGATTCTCCGTAGGCAATTAGCAGAACTCTTCCAAATAGTCGCTCAGGCACAGAAAGGGCAAAAAACGGAGGCAAGTCAATCTGATCTACGCTTCAGATCAATGTTAACACCTACTACAACTACACCAGACAATCGTCTCTGCGAGACTCTCAGAAAAGGTGGGTCTTGTTCAGCCGGGCAGAGCTACAACAGTAACAGACAGCATCCAGCATGGGATACATGGGGTCTCGGTAGAGGCATAATCCCACTGCTGGCAGCAGGTATTCATGGATGTGTTGGGATTGGGAACTGGTCAATGGGCAGGACACTCAGGATGGCGGATGTAATCAGTGGAGCACCACAGGGATCTGTACCGAGAACCCTGCTCTTCAGAACTCACAAGTATTTGCCCAGTCCCGAATGCTGTCTAAATCTTAAGAATCCTCCGAGTTCTCGAGTTTAATTCCTTGTTGTTACAGTCCGTCTATCAGCTTTTCAAAACCTTAGGAAAACTCCCGTGTCCAATTTAGGTTAATTAGGTTAATGAATGGACTACAGAGGGCGCAAGGCCCTGCAGGGGCCAAGTTAGAGGCTTGGGACAGTGTCACAGGGGTCAGGTGCAGGTAGGTGGTTAGAGAAGTCTGGAAGGAGCCAGCAGCCTGCAGGGCACAGGGCTGCCTCACTGAACACAGACCAGCTTCAGAGCTGCCTCCCTCTCTCTCAGCAGTGGAGGTAAATTCCACATGGGGCCAGTCCACTAAATTCCACAGGTAACTGCTAATCCCAGCAAGAGAGCTGGACAAGGGGGAAAAACAGAAACTCCAAGGGGACAAGCTCGTCCCACAAGGCTCTCCCACACCCCCTCTACACAAAGAGAGCCGTAGAACAAGCTGCCCAGCCAGTCAGGACGGGAGGCACGTCTGTACACAAAGAGTGGTGGGAGTGTGGTACAAGCTGTCCCGCTACGTTGTGGAAGCCGATACCCTGGTTTTTTTTTTTTACAAGAAACAGCTGATCACTGATCCCGGGATCAATTAGCTACTATCGATCAAAGCGGTCAGACGGGCCCTCCTCTCGCTTGTTAGCCCTGGTTCAGATCAAGTCTTAGAGCGCGGTGTGGAGTGAAAAACCGCATCGGACCCGGGACTCTCCGGGCCCAGGAATTAACAGCAGTGTTGGTATTGCGGTGCTGCAGTTTGTTCCTAATTTGCAAGCCTGTGCGTGAAGCTCACTTTCACGAGGATAAACAAGTCAGGCGAGCACGCCCCCCCACCCACCCCCGGAGAAAGGAAACCCGCACAGATACAGGGATAGTCTGTGGAGAACCCGGCCGTTTCAAACCAGTTCCGCGGGTGGACAACCCACTCAGACCGCCCACGACCCTCTCTCTGCGGACCAGCAGGCTGGGGCAATTTCAATGCCGAGAAGCGAAGAACATGCACACGGGGGGTCAGGCGCACGCGTCCTTTTAAAAAGGGTTTTTGCCCGCCTCGCAGTCGGATACTCTCGATTTTATTCTCTAACCTCTTCAATACAGGGCTTTCTTTTGTCAGTTCACAAAAGTCATGCAATAAAAACTGTAAGAACACAATATACCATCAAATTTAGAAATAAGAGGAACACTGGGGTGTTTATAGCAACTGTATCTTACCAGGTCGGAAGTCTGTTTACGGTAGAAAGAGCGCACGCAGTCGGGGGGGTCCACAGATTAATTTACACGACCACACTGTCCGCAGTGATTTTAAGGTTTCGCTCTCTTGGTCTTTTTTTTTATTTACTGAAGTTTATTGGCGTGACCGACGAATTACTGTTGTAATACTTCATACAGTAACAGCAATCGGGTGTAGGACATTTATGTCTTCGAGCGGTGTGTCCTCAATCTGAAAATTACCCACATTCACTATCGAGAGAAAACACGCAACCTCATTTAGTTCAAAGACAAAACAAAACACTAACCTTCTTTAAATACAAACGCAGGTTTTTCCGTAAAGTTCTGACGTCTTCTGACTGAGTGTCCTCTCTAGAAGTTTAAATAGAGGCACATTAAAAGTCCTATAAACCCTTTCCTCTGTCGACTAAACTTAAATTAACAACCGCGCTGAACTAAGAACTCTGGGACCAGCGTTCAGCCCCTCAGCAAACCGATTCAAACGTCGCGCCCCGGAGGGACAGCCAATCACCTTCCGAGTGCCGCCCGCAGCCGCCCAATGGCAGCGCTCGGAATGCGAGTGCCGCCGCTCCAGCCAATCGGACGGCACGCTGAACCCTCGCCCAAGGCGCAGGCGGAGAAAGGGCGCGGCGGCGTGCCTCTGTGAAGGAGAAATAGAGTGCGACCAATGGAAACTGGCTCCATGTTGGCTCAAAAAAAGAAGCACCGTGGCGAGCTGAGCCAACATGGCGATCTACCGCAGCTGGTGGGTGCTCGTTTAAACCTTTAGTTGTTCCTTTGCATCGCTACAGAGTAGCCTCTAAGAGCTACGTATTCATGTTCACATCGGCTTTATTCCCACATGAGTAGATATTGTACTTATCTACTTGAATAAACCTGCTGTGTGAATTTAGTCGAGAGAAGCCAGCGTTTCTCGCCCCCTTACAGATATGTTATTCTTCCTGTGCTAATAGATTATCTAAACAGCATGCCATCTTTAGACAGCCGTGCAAATTCGTTTAGTGTGTGGGCAAGCACCTCTTTCCCTCGGGGACTGAACAATAAATGTGAACAGTATTCACTTCGGCGGTACTAAAGAAGCATTGATGTGAACCCACATCGATTTGATAAACATCTGGACCGCCTGTCCCACACAAACGGCGCATTGTTGGCAGCTGAGGAGCCGCAGGGCACAACGGGTCACGTGGGTCGGCCGGTCGGGAGTTTGCACTTCCCAGCATCGCCGTCAGGAGTCGCTGTTGTCGCTCCCCCTCTGGGCCGCGTCTTGCCTTGATGGCGCTGATCTGCGGGCGAAGTCTGTCCCAGCCCGTTGTGTTAGGAAAGGCGCCTTTGATTGTGGGATACTAGGGGTTGCAAATAGACGCCTGTTTAAAAGTGTAAACTCAGATTAACATAGGCAGAGGTATCCAAATATAGGACACAACTTAGAAGTATGTAGTATTATAGAAACAAATATAGGTAGTAATGTAAAATATATAATCGTGTAGACACGCGAACACGGATGATACTGTAGAAAGTTGAATGCAGTTGATTTTGCAGAATTACAGTATATAACACCCCAGAAATGCAAATATAGGTGATACTGCAGTGCAGAAAAAGTCTTTGGAGGATGCGGGCATCGATCCCGCTACCTCTCGCATGCTAAGCGAGCGCTCTACCATTTGAGCTAATCCCCCTTTCTTATTGGGCCGGACCTGAAGTCTGTATATAAACTAATGTAAACAGTACAGTTTACAGAAACAAAGACTTTAGAAAGTACAATATTCCCACCTTATTTGTATTTCTATAGATAAAGTGTATTTTCCATGAGCGATATATAAATTGGTCATACTGTACATGTCCCTCCAAAGCCAAAGACTTCATTTCCCAGGCAGCATCGGGGCTAGAAAAGCACTTTGACCTGGAAGTGCAAGTGCTCAGTGGCGGTGTGGGAGGGGCAAGGAGTCAAGATGGCGGGCGGCATAGGGAGTAGGTGTTGTTTATATTTTAATTGTGTCTTTGTACCTTTATCAGTGTTTTGGAGTTGTTTCTGTGTTTTTGTGTGTCTGTTCTGCGCGATGAACGGATGTTTCTCCTTACTCCTTATGTAAGGTTACCGTGACTTTCCCCAGAAATAAGTGGTATTCTGGTAACGGACGGACGGTTTTTAACGTAACATTAGGAGTAACGTAACGCAGACACAAAGACTGTAGTTCAGGATTTGGCCCGGGGTGTACGAGAGCGTCTCAGTTTTCGGTCTGTGTGTCATACAGAGTCTGAACCTGAAAGAAAGTTAAGAGAAACCACGCTGGTAGCTGTACTAACGCTTGATAGGGGCTGGCTGTTACTTCCTACGACACCGCTAGGCGTGCGCGTATCTCTTGTTTATTACTGAACACTTCCCACGTTTTTAGTACCAGTTAGTACTAACTATCCATGATCGGTAGCCGGGTAAATATCCTTTAGAAATATTCTCGCCATGGCCGGTTGAGTATCTTTTAGACCAGTGGTCCCCAGTCCTGTAGAGAATATTCCTGGAGCCCGAACGCTTGCTGCCTTTTATTCCAGCCAGACCTCAGGTACACGATCCAACTCTTAACTGACTGAACCAGGTTTGACTCGGGCTGTTTGTTCTCAGCAGGCGGCATGGTGGCACAGTTGTTATCATTTCCTCAGCGTCAGTGACTCCTTTTGTGATTAAAGAGCCAGGTTTCAGTGTCTGGTACAGTGAGAGGGAGACTGTCATTTTGCTCACACATACAGTTTATCTGTTTTAATATGACCTTTCTCTCTCTCCCTCCTCTCCTATAATTTCTCTGCCCTGTCCCCTGTCTCCTCCTCTCCTGTCTTCTCTCTTCTCTGCCCCCTGTCCTTTCCCTCCTCTCCTGTCTCCTCTCTGCTCTGTCCCCTGTCCGCTCCCTCCTCTCCTGTTTACTCTCTGCCCTGTCCCCTGTCCTCTCCCTCCTCTCCTGTCTTCTCTCTGCCCTGT